TGACATAAAATGATTTTTACGATCTGACCCATTCCGTCTCTCCAGCCTCATTTCTCACCACTTATCTCACCTCCCACCCAAATCCTATTCTCCCTCCCACTCCCCAGCAAACAAATTCCGCCCAGGGTTCCAGCCTTGTCCTAACCTACTTCGTATTCTCTGCTGCACCTTGAATATTGCCTGGAACCTAGCAAACCTTCAATGATCATTTGTTAACCTAATTAATAAATAAAGTGGTAAAACTCTCTGCACGGTGTGTAGCACATAGAAGTATTAACAGTGACCTACCTCTATCATCCACATGATTTTTGCCTCATACTCTTCTAAGCATGTCAGGTGTATTAATTTTATTTTCATAACTATATGTGATACTGCTATTATGATTCCCATTGTAAAGATGAGGGAAGTGAGGCACAGAGAGGTTAGCAATTTGCTCAAGGTTACTCAGCTGATAAGCGGCAAACTGTCATAAATAGGTTGTAATTAGCATGAGGCTTCTAGTATTTTCCAGGCACTGTGCTAATGCTAGATGCATTCGGTGCGTAATCTCTCATTTCATAATAACTCCCATCTAATGCATGAAGAAATGGAGGTTTAGAGGGGTTAGGCGACTTATCCAGGGTCACACGGATAGTAAAAGCTGGAACGGAAGTTCACATCAGGTCTGCCTGCTCTACATCGCACACGTTTTGCTGTTTTCTGAGCGGCTTCTGCTGGCTGTATGGAAGGCGACACCTTTGCCCCCTTGTCAAGCCATCCAAGTCTTCTTCCTTCAAGACATAGCTCAAGGATCCCTTGGCTATGAAGCCTTCCCTGGCCTCTTCCCCACCCCACCCCTAGCTGCTGCAGTCAGCCTTCCTTCTCTGAGCCTCCATATCCCATCCACCTGCCCTTCACACCCCAGTGGAGCCCAGCGGTTAGAAATTCAGGCTCTCCTGGTGGTCTTAGGTTCAAATTCTGGTTCTGCTGGGTGGACCTTGATTCACCCTTTGTGTGACCATTTGAGCTTTGATTTTTTTTCCCCATCTGTAAAATGGAGATAAGAAAATCAGTTCGCACAGGGGGCTGGGTGAAAGGTGTATAAATCTTAGCCAAATGCTTACTGAAGCATATACTACACTGTATTATAATGATCTGTGTAAATGTTCATCTCCATCTCTTAAGTGGAGGGCAGGAACTGATTCTAATGTATCTCTTTGCCCCTAGCACCCAGTATGGCTTAAAATAGATATTAAATAAATGTGGAGTAAAAGAATAAAAAAAGAAATAAATGAATCTTAGAATCCTGTTCTCATAATTTGATACATAAAACCTAAGGACCTCATGTCACATAACTGCAAAGTTTGAAGGATCTTAGAGATCAACTTCCTGAGGTGTTCAATCTTTTTGACTATCACCCACAGTTAGTAATATACTTTATATTGCCACCCAGTGTGTGTGCGCATGCCCACACACACACACACAGAGAAAAGTTTTGGTGAACAGTTCTTGCCTTTCCTATGTGGGATAAACTCACATAATTCCTCTTCTTTTATCTCTCCTCCCCTCACCTCCTATTCTATCTTCTAACTTTTCCCTTCTCCTCCTTTCATTCTTTTCTTTCCTCTCTCTTCTATCTTTCCCATTTAAAAAATTGCTGTTTTAGGTCCACTACATTGATTTCATGCCCCATGAAAGCATTGTGACCTGTGGCTTGAAAATCATTTATCTAGTCCAACTAGACTCCTTGTCCAGCATCTCTAACAGGAGTTCTATACTTACACTTCCCTGATGAAAGAAAGTTCCCCCCAAAGATACACAGTTTCGTTGCTGGACAGCATTTATTGTTAGAAAATTCTTGCTTCTCTTAAGCAGAAATGAACCTCTTGTAACTTCCTCATTGGTCCTAGTTGTTCCTATCTGGCTTGCTGGTCTCTCTGTAAGTTATCAAGCAAATCACCTCATTGGGTTTCCTTTTCTTCTCCTCTTCCTACAGATGTGTCCCACCGAAGTGCTGACAACCTACAGGTCCATCATTAAAGCCATTCTTTAGGGTTAAGGCATTGATCTTCACCCATCATCTCCCATTATTATATCTGCTTGCTCTCATGGAGATAGGGGTCACTGGGGTTAGTCCACCTGTAGTGGCTGAAGTCTTCAGCTCCTGCAGCAGAGAAGTTTGTTGGGATGATGTGAAATATCAAAAGAGGGTTTCTTTAACCCTTAAATCTCTTTTGCTTGTTTTCTTTCCTCAATGGCTTGGATCTTCCCAGTGAGATGCTCAGTGGGGTTAGCAAATAGCATTTTGGAAATCACAACCAATATTGAAGGGTGAAATAGTATGTTAGCCTTTAACACCTTAGTCTAAATTTTCCCCTGTCAGTCTTTTTTCCATCACTTTAAGATCAGCCAGGGGAGGGGAATTATATTGCTAGCCCTCTATAGGGTCTCCTCAGGCAAGAGGCAGTAACCAGCCTTCACTCCAAGGTAAGTGTCAGATTCTTAGGACTGAAAGATTCCCTTGACCCTACACGTCCAAACTCTCTTCATTCATTCATTGAACAAGTATTTGTCGAGCATCTTATTTGTGCTACATCTTGTGCTAGGTGTTGCAGATACCATGGAGATCAAGAGAGTCCCCATTCCTGGCCTCCGTGGTGCATGCAGTCTAGCAGTAGTGACAGTCACCAATGATAAGAAGGTGTGACAGGTGCTCTGCTAAGGTCAGGAGTTGAGGGAGCTTGGAGCAGGGTCTCAGCTCACTGTGTGCTGGAGTCAGGGAAGGCTTCCTGGGGTGGACATTTGAGCTGAGACATGAAGGACAAGGAGCCTGTGGCTGAGTAGTTAATCTCTCCCTGGCTTCCCTCCTTCTCCCCACCCCCCAGTGCAGGCAGCATCAATGCCCCCATCAAGTCATCATCCTGAACTCCTCTGGGTCATTAGTTTAAATCAGTAGTTCTTAAGTTTTAACTCAGTCAGAATACTGTTTTGTTTAGTTTGTTCAACTGCAGATTTTAGGACCTCTGTAGGATTCTACATCTGGGGTGGGGCTGTGATCTGCGTGTCAGTCCATGGCTCGTATCTTCGGAAATCCTGGTCTATATCAGAATTCCACGGTTTTGGCCTTTACGCTTGACTATTTGATCAGTTTCTGAAGGAAAGAGGAAAAGGAAGTTCAGGAATGCCAAGGTTATCTTTCTGGGATTGGTGAGTCTGGGGAGGCATTGGGAGGGTGGTGTTGGTGATAGCAGGGACTGGGAGTTCTCAGAGGGGTCCAGCAAGGGCCCTTGGTCCTGGCACCCAACAACCTGGGGGACCTCCCACCAGCCATGTTGTGCTCCTGCCTCACCTCACAGCAGTAGACCAAAGGCACATGGTAGCACTGGCCACATAATTAGCAGAGCATGTCCCAGAATAATTAAATGTTTCAAAACAGTAACAGCAGAGCAGTAAATCAAGTGCGGGTCCCTCTGAGAGTGGGGCCCTATGCAATGCAGGGGTCAGATAACCAGCAGGCTCAGCAGTGGGGTGAGTGGAGCCCCGGCCCAGACTGAAACTCCTGGGTACAGGAAATGAAACCAGGCCTGTGAATATTCAAAGAAGGAGGATCCTTAGAGATCACCTAGATCAGTTCCCTCCATGTCCAGCTGTAGAATCCAAAGCCCGGAGAGATGGCCCAAGCTCACCCTACAAATTGGTGGCAGAGCCAGATCAGAATCCCAGCCCCAGGACCTTCCTTCCCCCTCTTCCTCTCCCCCGATCTCTTCTTTCCCGAGGTGGTTTCATCCTATGCAATGTCCATGTGGAAACTATCCACAAGTTGACAACTTGCAAATATCTATCCCCCATCTCCATCACGCATCTCTCCCCCAGCTCCAGAGTCCTGTGTCCAGCCATCCCCAACTGCAGTGGCCTCTTGCTGCTGCTTCTCCCCTGCTTCCTTCCTTACCCACCTCCAGTCTGTCCCTCCTCCAACACACACATACACACAGCCACCAGAGTGTGAATTTGCAATCTGCGACCTGGATCCTGCTCTGGTACTGCTCTCTGCCCAAGGCATTGCACACAGATTATATTCCTACCTCATCAGCACACAGCCTCCAAGATCAAGTCCTGCAGTTTCTCCCATGACCATCTGTCCCCTCACTCTGCTCCCACCAAGTGACCTTGCTGTGGCTCATGTATGCCCAGCTCATGCCTGCCCTGCAAGTGCATTCCTCTCTTTGGAACATTCTTTTCCTAGAACTCCCTGTGACTTCCACTTCCTTCATTCAGGTCTCAGCTCATAGGCCCCTCCCAGAAAAGGCTTCCTGTGCACATGGTCTAAAATATACCCCCGCCACTCTCTATCCCCTGCCTTCTTTATTTTTCTTCTTACCAGTTAACCTCCCTGGAATTATACTGCCTAGTTATTCCTTTGTTTTTACTATCTTGCTCACTGCTCACTTGCTCAGTGCCCCGAATGATGCCTGCTACATAATTGGCACTCTATAAAGAACTGATGGAGGAATAAGTAAATCAATAATCAAACAAATTGATTTAACACATGCATGTTCAGGGGCTCTTCAGTGTCAGGGGCTGTGCAAGGCAGTGAGGTCTCAGACATGGAGCAAGTGGACAAGGAAAGGTTCCTGTCCCCAAGGAGGCTGATCATTGTGTTGGGGAGACATGGACCTGTGTTCGCAGGAGGCTCAGAGTGACATGTGCAGCTTGTCGAGGATGAGTCTAAGAAGATGGGGTGAGGGTAAAAGATCCATGGGTCCTTGGAGCAAGGAGTTGGATTTTAGGGGTATCAATGTCCTTTTGTTTGGAGACAGAGTCTTGCTCCGTCCCCAGGCTGGAGTGCACTGGCAAGATCTTGGCTCACTGCAACCTTTGCCTCCCGGGTTCAAGCGATTCTCTTGCCTCAGCCTCCCGAGTAGCTGGGATTACAGGCGCATGCCACCATGCCTGGCTAATTTTTGTATTTTTAGTAGAGATGGGGTTTCACCATGTTGGTCAAGCTGGTCTCGAACCCCTGACCTCGTCATCTGCCTGCCTCGGCCTCCCAAAGTGCTGGGATTACAGGTGTGAGCCACTGTGCCTGGCCCAATGTCCCTTTTCTGAAGAGCTAGCAGCTCTCTGTCCTTTCTGGTCCCTCAGCCTGTTAGGCCAGCACGGGGGCCCATATTCATGATGAGGGCTCTTAGATCCCCAGCTCCTATAAAAGGTCATGCTTATAGAGTAGGTGACAGCCAATTCTTGCCAGTGCTAGAATAAGGAAGGAGACTGACGTGACTCTACTCAGAGGAAGCTGAGCCTTACCCAGTGGATGCATGGCCCAGCCTGGGTGAGCCCTGTGGGTAACTTGGCATTCCTCAGGCCATCCCTTGGAAAACTCCATCTTCACCACTTCCCCTTTAGCCTTCCAGCCTCACAAGGCAGGCTGCCCATGGCTGCCCACCCACTGCAGCTTAGCCTGGGTGTCGCCAGTCTTCTCCTTCTGTGTAAATGGTATGATTAAGCTGGAGGGCAGAGACAGGAGCCCTGAAAGAAGCCCACTTCCTCCAGGAAGCCTTCTTTGCTTTCTCAGTGGGAGTGCTTCCTTCTTTCCCTTGCCCTGTAGCACATACCTTCCTCCTAGTTTGTTTATCCATGGGTCCATCCATCCATCCATCCACCCATCCATCCACCCACCCATCCATCCATCCAACAAACATTCATCCAGCACTTATTTACACTAGTGACCAAGAACATGGTCCCTGTGCTCCAGAGCCCACAGTCTAATAAGGGAAAGAATTATTATGCAACTAGTTTCAAGTTAACAATTTAATTATAACTGTGATAAATGCTCTGCAACAGACGTATTTGAACCTACGGGGAGATATTAGGTAGAAAAGACTTCCCTGATGAAGGAATGTTTCACCCAAGACCTCACTGTCTGCTATGGTAGCCAGTAGCCACATGTGACTATTGAGCCCCTGAAATGTGGCTAGTGTCACCAAGGAACTGAGGGTAGATGAATAATTTTATCAAAATAAAATAACTATTCTGTGTCAGGCCCTGTTAAGGCCAGTCCAAACTAGTCTGGTTGAAAACACCAACAATTACGTCCAGTTCAGCATCCACCTCCTCCCCTCACCCCAGCCCAATGCTGCCCCCAAGTCCCTGCTGAAGGATCTGGAAGGGATGGAGGTAAAGCATCCTTTTGTTCCTCCTCCTTTCCCTGAATTGGGTCTGTCTATCATCTAGTGTGTTAGGACCTGGGAGGGAAGATGGAAAAAGAGGGACCTTTTACCCAACAATGCTCTGTTCACTATGCTCTGTTCAACAATGCTCTCTGTTCACTATGGCTGGACTCTGGAAGCCAGCTGCCTCCTAGGGCACAGGTGTGGATTCCTAGGAGGATCCTGCATGTGTGCATGCATGCATGTGCGTGTGGGTGTGCCCATGTGTGTATGCTGTGGGGGTACACAGTCTGCTGCACAGTCTCTCTTATGCATGATCTGATCCACGTTTATAGCTCCCCGCTGGAGTCCATGCTGCAGTCTCTTACTCCTGGGCCCTCTTGCCAGTGGTCATCTCTCTTGAGTGGGATGCTCTAAGCTCAGCTCCCTCCTTTCAGTGGGGATCTCTCCATGGACCTCACCCCCTTGCCACTCTGCAAGGAGGAAGCTTGAGCTGCTGCCCTCCCACCCCGTCCCTCTACCCTGCCATCTCTTTTCAGTTCCTTTTTCTCTTGCTCAGGGCAACATTAAGGTGGATCAACAAATTCACTGTTGCTTCAGGAGACACCTGGAAAAAGAGAAGCCAGCCTCCTCCTCCTGCAGGCACCCAATATCTAGGAGTCATTTTAGGGTGCCTTGCTTGGCTGGGTGGTGGTGGGGGGTTGTGAGGTTGGGGGGAGTTTCTGTAACAACCTCCCCCAGGCTGACAACTCCTCTCTATCCTCTCCCTCCACTTTAGCTGAGCGTACAGACCCCAAAGAGATGGGATGGCCGGGGAGCAGGCCAGGCTTGGCTGCTTTGTAATCATACCTGGCCCCAGAGGTTCATTTGTTATTACCGAGTATCTGTTCTGTGCCCGGCACTGTGTGGCTGCTGGTTACAGCCGTGAATAAAGATCAGTAGTCTTCAGGGCAAATCATTTATTTTTCATGAGGGAAGTGGATAAAAACAAATAAGTATACATCAGGGCTAACCACTGGAAAGCCAAGTAATGCAGGGTAAGGAAATGGAGAGACCAAAGGGAGAGGCTGTTTTCATAGGGAGGTCAGGGAAACTGGTGGCTGTGTTTCAAATTCATGTTTCCCCAACTTGGAGCCTAGTAGACAATTTTGGGCCACGGGTAATCCGTGCTGCCATTGTGCAAGCCTAGTGAAGCCGTGAGGCAAGGGTTGGGTTTCAAAGTCTAGGGTCTTTCTTGGTTGCACGTGGTTGTGTATGTCAAGGCTCACTTCTCAACCCTCTGGGCCCATGTCTGATCCATTCTGCATTCCCAGAAGCCATGTCTGGGTCTGGGACAGGGCAGGTTTTTGATGCTGCTTGTTCAGCATGGAGGAGCCTCCAGGAGAAGGGACATCAAGGCTCAGCCTATCAGAGGCCAGCTTTGTGGCTTGAAGCTTGAGGCAGAGCTCAACCACTTCCCTGTCTTGCTCATGGGGAATCAGAGACGGTTGGAACCCAGTGAAAGGCTCCAGATGCCTCGCTGGCTAGACACCATAGGCCTGAAGGTTTGGGGCTTGGAAGGAGGCCTTGGCCACAATGACCACTTCTCTCACTGTGGCTCAAGCCTCTGCTCCAGGCATGGCAGGGAATGGAGTGGGGTGAGCAACTGGGAAGTATAAGGTCTGCTCCAGGCTGTCAGAGGCTGGCCAGTGGCTCCTGGGCTCTTTCAGGGCCTTATCCAGTGGTTGTCACCGGGAACAGACCAGGAGCACTGTGAGTCTCTCACCATGGCTACCACACCTGGGTGGGCCCTGGGCTCCCTCCTGCCTACCCTTCTGCTGGGACTCACAGGTGAGTCCTGATTCCTGTCCAGAGAGACCCTCAGGGCAGGCAAGGAGACCCCCAGGAATGACCAAATCCAGCCACTGTGTCTTCCTGAAGGGAGACTGAGGCTCAGAAGACGTGACCGAACTGTTTTCCTGCCAGTCAGGTGCTATTTTTCATCTTTTCTTCAATGTAGACCTTGTGGATAAAGGGAGTTGGTGGGAGCTGGGGGATCAGAGGAGGAAGTGACCTAATGGTGAGGGGCTCAGGGGAGGTCAGGAGGTAAAAGAGCCCACCTCCCAGATTTCTTGATGTCAGCTCTAGTCTGGGTGGCTACCTGTTCTGGATCAGAAAGGGTGTAAGGGTGGAAAAGACAGAGAGAGAGAAAGAAAGAGAGAGAGAAGTCGCCAGAGTGATGGAGCCTCCAGCATTGGAGGCATGGAAGAGTCCTGGACCCGAAGTCAGACCGGCCTTCTTACCCTCCTTCCTTAGCCACTGATAGGCTGTGTGACCTTGAGCAAGTCACGAGACCTTTCTGAGTCTCTGTTTCCTCTTCTGAAAGTGGGGACAATAATACCAGCCTTCCATAGCTGGGATGTGGAGAAAAAGCAGCATACACGGCTGAAAGTGTTTTCTGAACCACATGGTGCTGTGTGCAGGGTGGGTGATAAGGGCAGAGCACAGTTCAGAAGGTACCAGAGCTGTGTGCTAAGAGGATGAGTTCCTATGGCCTCCTGCGCTGCCCTCTGCCTGTCATCCTGCTTGTCACTGGTTGTTTATTTGCCTTTCCCCCGCACCTGACCAGATGCTTCTCAAGGGTAGGGGTCCTGTCTGACTCATCTCTGTGGTCTCAGCACCCAACTCCTGACCTGGTGCAGAGCAGGAGCTCAGGGAATGCTGCGAAGACTTGGGGAGGTTCCTGCTCCAGAGCTCTGCAGGGCTGTCCTTAGGAGGAGGGGTGAGTCTCATCCTGCAGTTTTCCTGGAAAAATTCTGGGAGACAGGTCTCAGGTTATATCCCAGAAGCAGGAAATATTTTGTCATAGTCCTAGCTGTGTGTGAGGGTAAATGGAGCTGCTTTTCATGGAGAGCGCTCCCTGTCACTGGAGGTAAGCAAGCAGAGGACGGGGGTCTAGTGAGGTGTTGATGGGAGGGACCCGAGTAGGAGGGCCAACCATCCCTGTTGGGGTGATTCTTGACTTTACATTCAAGTCCTTATAAACTTACATCCACAGTGGAAATCCTGATTCATCACCATTCCCTTCCTATCCCAACTCGGTCCTTCTCTAGTTCTTCCCATCTCAAAGCGTAGAGCTACCACCCACACAGCTGCTCTAGAGAAAACCTGGGAATTGTTGATCCATAATTCATTCTGTCCCTCATCCCCTATCCTGCCCGTCACTGAGTCCTGTGGGCTGTATCTTCCAAATGTGTCTTGAGTCTCCTTTTCTCACCACCCTAGTCCAGGCTACCATCACCTCGGCCTGGAGGCCTGTACCAGCTTCCCCACTGGTGTCCCTGCTTCCATTCCTGCCACCCTCCTTCCCATTCTCCACACAACCCCAGTTATCTTCTAAAAAAATGTACATCAGACCACTTTGCCCCTCTATCAAAGTCTCGTCTGGTTTCCCATCACTCTCAGAATAGAATCAAGATTATCACCATGGTCCCCAGGCTCTTCTCACTCTGGACCTCTTTGCCATGACACTAGGGTCCTACAGACTTCTTGGTTTCTCAAGCCCACCAAGCTATTCCTGCCCGAGGTCCTTCTCTCCTGCTAGCCCTGCTGTCTGGAATGTCCTTCCTCTGTCCCTTCCCATGGCTGGCTCCTATTCATTCCTCGGTTTCAGCTTAATGATATGTCACCTCCTCAAGGAATTCTTCCCCAGCTGCCCTTCTAGAATAAGTCCTCCCCACATTCTCCATCTGTGCACTCTTTGGGTTTCCTTGAGGGCATTGGGCTCAGTCGTAATCACATTTGCATTTGCTTGTTTTCTTTTGATCAAATGCTGATGTGCTGCCTGAAGATGGAACCAGATACAGCACATAGTAGGTCCCCAGGGCCTGACACAGCTCTGGTGCCACTGGTGCCTGTGGGGTGTGTCCCATCCTCAGTGTGCAGTCACAGTTGCTCTTTCCTTAGCTGGACAGCCCTTCATCTCTCTGACTGGTCCATCTCAGAGGACAAGCCCTGGAGACTCGGTGCCTTTCAACTGTACTGCTGGCCCTTTCAACTCCAAGGACTTCTCCCGGGACTTCAATGTTACCTGGTTGAAGGACAGTGATGAACATCCAGCCTCAGCTCAGCGCCTGGTGCCTGACAATGAAGGCAATGACTTCATCACCAGCAAGGCATGGGTGACACTGACCCGACAGGATGTCTCATCTGAGATCACCTGCGAAGTCACCCACAGGGCCCTGGTAGAGCCCCTGAAAACAACCATGAATCTCTCCCAAGTGCTCCGAGGTGAATGGGCAGTCAGGTGGGGTGGACATTAACCCTGGAAGCATCCAGCTTCCAGGGGTTTTGCCCAAAGCCTCATTTCATAAATGGGGAAATGAAATTCCTCATTGATTTCTGATCGTGTGTATTGTGGTTATAAGCGCAGGTTCCAGGGGTTTACTGTCTGGGTTTTAATCCTACCTGTGCCACTTTATAACTTGTGGGCTCTTGCGAGTTATGTGACTATTTAATGCCAGTTTCTTTATATAATAGGAATAAGATGAGGACCTACTTCATAGGTGTCCTGTGAAGATTAAATGAATTATTCCTTATAAAACACACATAACGGTGCCTGGCATACAGTAACTTACTTATGAATGTTTCATCTTGTTATTATCTGGCCCCAGACTCCCTTTCTAAACATCTTTGTTCTATTAATGTCATTGTTACAGTTTTTTAATTAAAATGTTTATTATTCATTTAATAATAATGAATAGCCACTGTATGCCAGACACTGTGCTCAGTGCTGGGGATGCAGCAACGAGCAAAATAAAGTCCCTGTCCTCATGGGCATCACCTTTTACTAATTCTTAAAATTACATTTTCTGATATGAAATATTTCAAAAACACAGAATATAGCAGACACCCCTGTATCCTTACCCATATTTAATGAATATTAACATTTAGCCCTATTTGCTTTACATTGTGCATACAAGAAGAAATTATTTCTTTACAAAAAGGCGAGAGACCTTGGGGCTGGTCCCTGGAGAGGAAAGCATGGGTGGCCACAGGCAGGGGCTGATTTCACCAGATCTTACTTCCTATTCCTCTGTCTAGTTGTCCCCACCCTGAAGATCACCACTGAAACCTCTGGGACCCGTGTACGTGTGCAAGACAGAGTGAATCTCACCTGCCATGCCCTCCACTTCTATCCCGCCCACCTGCGACTCACCTGGATGGAGAACAGGCGCATGATCCAGACCCTGGCGTCCCCTCAGGCCACCAGAAATCAAGATGGGACATACTCTCTGGAGCACACGTGGCAGGCAGAGGTCACGCCGGAGGAGCGTGAGTTTGCTTGCTGGGTTGTCCACGATGAGCAGCCCCCGCTCAAGGCCAATGTCACCCTGCAAGGCCAGGTGCACAGGCAGGGGAAAGGTGGGTGCAGCCTCTGACCCAGCCCCTCTCGACATCCCCTGTGGGCAGCATGGCTGGGGCTGGGGAGGGTCGGAGACTCAGGGCGGCATCAGGTGATGGTGAAGGATGGAAGGATACCCTCAGCTGATGATAAAACTCTCACACATTCGCCCCCAAACTCCACTCCTTATGCCTTCCTCCACACCCTCCCCAAGAAGAAAGGGTGGGACTTCTCTTCCCTAATTCCATGCATTCTTGATGTTGAAAGTTCTCCACCTTAACAATTGACTGCAAGAAATGGCAGAGATTAAGGACTGCTGAGCACCAAAGTGCCTTATAGAAAGGCTATTAATCAAGACTGGCACAGTTGAAAGTTTCTGGATGGCACCTTTAAAGAGAGGCCAGAATTCTGAATTCAGCTGGAAAAGAGGGTCTGTGCAGGCCCATACACGGAGTCAGGACAGGCCCTTACAGTCGGTCGGACAGGCCCTTACAGTCGGTCGGACAGGCCCTTACAGTGGGTCAGACAGGTCCTTACATGGGGTCAGGACAAGCCCTTACACAGGGTCAGCACAGGCCCTTACATGGGGTCAGGACAGGCCCTTACAGTGGGTCAGACAAGCCCTTACATGGGGTCAGACAGGCCCTTACATAGGGTCAGTGCAGCCCCTTACATAGAGTCAGAACAGGCACTTACATAGTGTCAGGACAGGACCTTTGAGTCAGTGCAGGCCTTTACCTAGGGTCAGGGCAGACCCTTACACGGGGTCAGAACAGATCTTCCTCCTCCTCTCCCCTTCCTTTTCCCCCTCACTTTCCTTCTCCTTCCATTCTTCTCTTTTTCCTTGTCCTCTTCACTTTCTCCCTTTTTTGAGTGTTTTTTTATATTACCTTTTTTTTTTGTTTTTTTGTTTTGTTTTGTTTTTACACTTTCAGGTTCAGGGCCCATGTGCAGGTTTTTATATAGGTAAATTGTGTGTTGGAGTTTGGTGTACAGCCTCTGTTATTTTTTGACTTTTTAATAATAGCCATTCTGGCTGGTGTGGGATGGTATCTCATTGTGGTTTTTATTTGCATTTCTTTAATATTAGTGATGTTGAACATTTTTTCACAAGCTTGTTTGCCGCGGATATGTCTTCTTTTGAAAAGTAGCTGTTCACATCCTTTGCCCAGTTTTTAATGGCGTTGTTTTTTTACTTGTGAATTTATGTAAGTTCCTTATAGATTGTGGATCTTAGACCTTTGTCGGATGCATAGTTTGTGAATATTTTCTCCCATTTTGTGGGTTGTCTGTTGGCTCTGCTGATAGTTTTTCTGGCGGGCCTTGCCTTCCGGAATCTCCTCTACCTCCGATCTCTCTCACTCTTTCTGTCCTCAAATGATTTTCCCCACAAGAGGGAGCTGTCTGCTGGCAGTTCAGATTCACAGAGCGCGGGCTGCTTTCCTTTGGTCCAGCTTGGACCAGCTTGGGAGAATGAATTACCAGTCCAGAGTGGGCCTGTTGGGTGGTGGAGGCAGACAGTGTCCGAGAGGGTGGGTGGAGGTTATTAGGATTGGCCGGGCCTGGCGAACTAGGAATAAGCCAGCATATGGACTCACAGCTCTGCAGAACCACATGAAGCCAGAAAGGACAGTCCCTTTTGGGCAGTGAGGGTGTTTGCCTCTGTGTACGAGTATTACAGTGCAGGCCACTGCCAGAGCAAGGGTGGACGGGTGCCGGACCAGCAACAACAGCCCGTCTTCCCACCAGGGCCTTCTACCTCCCCTTCTCTCTTTCCCTGACGGAATTGGCCTCTATCTGGCTGCTGTAAGGATTCTTAAGGAGAATGATCCCACTCAGCTTTCAATTTCTCCGTGCCTTTTTGTCTGTTGTCCAGCAGAAATAAGAAAAACACTCACCCAGCAGGATACACAGGTCTGGTTGAAAAACTGGAAACTGGTCCTTTCTGATCAGAAGCAAGTTACAATATTTCTTTATTGACTCATGCTGGGTTTTTCTTCTCTTATTTTTCTCTTTTGCCTGCATACAGTCTATCTGGCCCACTGCTGCAACATTAACCCCCTGGGAGCATCCTTTTCATTATACGGCTCCCCTATGTAGCTTTGTGGGGCCCCGTGCTCTGCAGGGGGAAGGGCAGCCCCTTCCTTTTCTGGCATTTAGGCCCCTTTCTCTTTGGTGTTAACAAAGCATTGCAGCTATCCTCCCCCAACCTGGCTCATAAATGCCTTCATCAGCACCCTCACCTCTTACGCACTCCCCACTCTGTGTCTCTGTTCCTACTGGCTGACACCCGTAGAGCATTTACTGCACACTAGGCATCCTCAAATATGTTATCTGAACCTACAACAGAGCCCAGAGCTAGCACGGGGACCAAGGTCTCAGAGGTTCCAAACAGCATAGCTGGGGTTAGAATGTAGGCATGTCTGTTCAAAAATTCAATGTGTTTTTCTGCATTTTTCTTTCCTATCCTGCCTGAGAATACAAAGCTTAGTGTTATCTCAAGTCTCTTCTCAAATCTCAATTTTAAATGCTCTATTTCTGATATTTATTTCTTCCTGAATTCCTGAACTCCTGACCTCAGGTGATCCACCTGCCTCAGCCTCCCAAAGTGCTGGGATTACAGGCGTGAGCCACCACACCTGGCCGCAACTCCCTTTCTGAGTCAAGTTTTCCATCAGTGCAATGACAATTCTTACACCCACCTCAAAGAGCCCTGCTTAAGATTCTTTTCCTTGACTCCTGCCTGGCATCTGGACAATGGGACCCATAGCAAGTTATCTGCAGTGACTGCAGTCTCCATAGTGCCTAGCCTAGAGCTGAGCTGCAAGTAGGACAATATTAAAGGTCATTTAATATAGAACCAACTGTGCAGAAGTAGAGGCAGCTATGAAGTAACAGAAAAAGGCCTTGACTTGGAGTCAGAACTCCTGGGTTACAATGTCAATTCTGTTCACTGTGAGGCCCTTGGATAAGTCACTAACCCTCCCTGAGCCTTTTCTTTATCTGTTAATATTAAAAATACGATTAATAATTCCTTGGATGGTCATTGTGAATATATGGTGCTGATGGTTACCATTTATATAGTGATTACTGTGTGCCACATATTCTACTTAGTTACATCCCTTAATTTATTAATTAACTCTGAGAGAAATGCAAATCAAAACCGCAATGAGATACCATCTCACACCAGTCAGAATATCAAGTATTAAAAACTCAAGAAATGACAGATGTTGGCGAGGCCATGGAGAAATAGGAATGCTTTTACACTGTTGGTGGGAATGTAAATTAGTTCAACCATTGTGAAAGACAGTGTGGCGATTCCTCAAGGATCTAGAACCAGAAATACCATTTAACCCAGCAATTCCATTACAGGGTACATACCCAAAGGAATATAAATCATTGTATTACAAAGATATGTACATGCGTATGTTCATAGCAGCACTACTCACAATAGCAAAGCAGTAAAATTAATTCCTTGACATGGAATCAACCCAAATGCCCATCAGTGATAGACTGGATAAATAAAATGTGGTACATATACACCATGGAATACTGTGCAGCCATAAAAAGGAATGAGATTGTGTCCTTTGCAGGGACGTGGATAAAGCTGGAAGCCATTATCCTCAGCAAACAAATGCAGGAAGAGAAAATCAAACACAGCATGTTCTCACTCATAAGTAGGAGCCGAATAATGAGAACACATGGACTCAGGGAGGAAAACAACAGACACCAAGGCCTTTTGCAGCGGGTGAGGGGAAGGAGAGCCTCAGGACCAAAAGCTAATGTATGCGGGGCTTAATACCTAGGTGATGGGTTGATAGGTGCAGCAAACCACCATGGCACAGGTTTACCTATGTAACAAACCTGCACATTCTGCACATGTATCCCAAAACTTAAAGTAAAATAAAATTTAAAAAAAGAAAGAAAAGAAAAATGTACTTCATCAAACCTAATGGCTAAATAAACAAAGGAAGTCTGACTTTAATTATACTCCAGATATCAAAATGAGATGAATAATTGTTATAAAATTTAAGCCATTCTTCTTCTGTAAAAAACAAATCATCCCCATTTTACAGATGAGAAAACTGAGACTCTGAGGGTTAAGTTGCTTGGGCTCCAGTGGAGAGCTGGAAACGTAAACTTGGGTGGAGTGAGATCCTAAAGCCTGTGCTCCTAACCTTTTCTCTATGGTTCTAACGTCTTCTCCATGACCTGGCCTCTGAGAAGTGAGGTTCTCTTCTATTTTCAAAGACTGAGGGTAGGGCTGAGTGACAGTAAGGGGTGCTGACCATGGAGCCTGACTACCTGGCTAAGATCCCAGCTCAGCCACTGTCTAGTGGACCTTAACAAGTTATTTAGCCTGTCTGGCCTCAGTTTCCTCATCTGTGAAATGGGAATAGTAACAGCTTCCACTTCTGAGGGCTGCCATGAGAACTCAGTGACTTAGGGAAGAGCCTGTAGGCAGGGTAAGTGCCAAGTGAGTGTCCACTATGCAGTATCTGTAGGAGTTTACCTCCTTACAAACTGCTGTTTCCCATTCTACAGTTTCATTGGCCTCTGATACCAGATTCGGAAACTGGTTCCTATCAGAACATAACCTTTACATCTTATGAAAGAGGAAGCAATGGGTTTCTTGGCAGATGCTGTGTATTTGTTCACACTGGGGTTCAGGCACTTCTGTGCCCTCTCATGGGAGGGGTCTATCCTTGCAGGCCGGAGTGTGCAGCCTTACAAGTTGCAAGGCCCCCTTCAGCGATCTGAGCCCGGCACAAGGATCCGATTGACCTACACATCCTCAGGGTTCGCAACACACCAGGTTACTGTGACCTGGCTTAAAAACAAACACGAGCTCCCAAACCCCCAGACCAGCGTCCAGTACAGTGGACACACCTACAATGTGACCAGCAGTGTGCTTGTCCTGCTGACGGATGATGATGTATTCTCCCACGTCATTTGCCACGTTGAGCACAAGTTGACGCTGTTTTTCCAGAAAACCATCGGCCTGGACCAGTACCTCCGGGGTAAGATCTCTCTCTCTGCTCAGCTGAGGCAGTGCAGAGATGGGGTGGGGACTTCTCTGAGCCTCAGTTTCCTCAATGAAAAATGAGGAAGAACCCTTAAAGATAAGCAAGCACATCCCTCGTTTGATTGAGGCAAGAATTTAGTGAAATAATACCTGTAAAGTGCTTAAGACAGTGCCTTGCTCATACTAACTACTCAGAAGTGGCAATTGTTGTTGTTAATTGGTATTATTATTTACAGCACTTCTCAGAACTCACTTCTTTCATCTGTAAAATGGAGACAGGATATCTTCTGGGAATTCAATTTTATTATTATCATTATTTTATATGAAGAAGATTTGAAGGGCTTGGGAAACTAAATTCTAGGGCCTATGATGTCTTTAGATGGGTTGAACCAATGCTTGGCTGACACGAATTCCATGAGGTCATAAAGTATCATGCCTAGAAGAAATCTTAATGCTCATTGAATTGTTCTGACAACTGTAAAAGTCAGAGAAGGCAAGTGAGTGGTCCAAGCTTGCATAGCAGTAAAATTAATTCCCTGAAGGTATATTGGACTTTAAAATCTACAAAATATGTCTCTCTTCTTTTTCTCATTCACCAAATAGGGGGAGAAGTGTGCTATTAGGAAGTACACACATCTTATTACATGGAGGAAGATATTGGTAGTAATGTCTCAAACATTTACAGCTCACAGACAGGCACACTCGTGTGAATGGACTTTAATGTGTAGAACTGCCCTATACTGTTTGTGCCATTTGTGAGTTACAGAAGGAAACCGAGGCTCAAAGAAGTGAAGGCTGCTTAAGGTTGTAAAGCTGGTGAGTGAGAAACCTTGGCATGAATTCCAGCTTCCAACTCTGCTCTATTTACCAGTTATGGGATCTCCTGCAAGTTGCTTATGTTCTCCCATCCTCAGTATCTTTGTCTGTAAAATAGAGAAAGGATAGTTCAGGGAATCTTCCTTATCTGAGTATTTATTATGTAATTCTCTGGAGCTAGGACAATTGTGTTGAGAAGCAAAAGCTATAGAAAATACAGATTTTCAAAAATAATTGATTATATATAAAATTAGCTCCCACTCCAAGCCCTTCCCTGTTCAACACTGTATGCATCTGAGGGCTGTGCTTCCTCTCATGGAAATATCTTTGTGGCTGTCTTTATTTGAGTTCTCCTGAAAGCAAAGCCTGAACCCAGGACTTGGGGGCAGGTGGTTGGAGGGTGATGCTGAGAGGTTGGGATGGGGGCACGGGCAGGGAGAGAGATACTAGCTTTGCAGGGAGTCAGCCAAGAAAGAGTGAGTTATTGAGCTGGGTGCCCCTGTGGACCACTGGGGCCCAATGACGCTGGATACCCTCTGAAGAACTGGGTAGAATATGCCTGAGAATTGTCTCATGAAGGAGAGGTGGGGATGTGCCTGCAGTGGGGAGGTGGCATTTCATGTTTACAGAGAGAAATCCGAGGCAGAGAAGAGGAAAGGGTTTTGGAAGCCCAAGGTGGGACTCGGTGTGAGTGGTACTGCTTGGCACCACTGCAGTGAGGTCAGGCAGCTGGGAGAGGAGGCGTGGAGCCCAGAAACCCTCTGCTATAGGGTTGGTCTTGCCTTGATTGAAGTGTGGCAAACCTCACACTATCTTGTGCAAATTGAATCCATATTCATTGCAAAGTGCAATCTGAGATCTTGCAAAAGTTGTATTTCAAGAAGTTGAGGCAGGTGATATTGGGGAGCTGCAGGGATCACAGGCAAAGCCTTTGACTGTTAAAAATGGAATCATAATAATAAGAAAAAATTCATGATGCTAATGATACTGTGGGCACTTCAAAAGAGAGCACTTCGATTAAAAGAGATCCCTATGAAAATCGATAGAACACTCAAATAATTTCAAATGATTTTTCAAAATTGGTCTTTAATGACTGTGTGAGATTTGAAATGAAGGATTTGTTGGTCCTATAGTATAAAGCCTGAGAAAAAACCATGGCAGCTCCCGTCCACTCCTAGCACTTATTCTTCTAAGAGTTGGTGCCTCTTCACAATTATATTCTATATTTGTCTGCAAATATACATTAAGTAAATTTTTTTAAATTTAAATGCTTTTCAAGATGACGTTCCAACCAATTCCTTTTTTTACAATTTCTATGAAATTGAGGCCTGATTTTGTATAGGCTTCTTCTAAGTGGCACCTTTTTTTTTTTTTTTTTTTCTGATACCAAGTAGCTTCAGTGTTTACATTATTTGGTTTTGTGAGAATTAAATAAGAAAATGCATGCACACTGCCTCAAACATTGACATTCAGGGGATGGGAGCAGTTGTCATCAGCTGTGCTCAGGCCTTTGTCCTCCCAACACTGGCCCAGACACCAGACAGCCAGGAAATCTCACTGGCGGTTGAAACGGGCCATCTCAGCCTCTTATCTGTTTTTATACTTTTTGGTCCTTGCCACCTTCTAGAACCCATGGCAGTTGTGTGGAGGCACCTTACCCTGCCCTCTTCTCCACGGGCACCACCCCAGTTACCAAGATTTCAACACCCGGAGTCCTCCATTCTCAGGCCTTGCTCTTTTCTTCGTGAGATCCCTGTGCTCTCCTGGTGTGCTGAAAGGGAAAGACTAAGTTCAGGTAACAAGCTCAGGGAGGGTGTCTGCCTCAGCTGCCATTAGCAACATCACTGATAACATTTTACAAGTCTGGGTAGGTTGAGGATGAGAAAATAATATTTGGGGGTTGGATTTCTGTAACTCCTTCAAATTTCAGTACCAAAAGTTGCTTCCTCTACCTGAGACCAAGAGCTGAAATCTCTCTTAACTAGGCCCATGAGAGCTGATCTGACCTCAGAGAATTTCATAATTTTAGAGTCTTAGAAACAGAGGGAAAGTGACTGGCATAGGTCTCGCAGTTGGCTATGGTATCAAGGACCAGAATCCGGATCAACCAACCCTTAGTTTAGTGTTAGAGCTGCATGGTGGTGTGTGTTCATAAGAAGTCTACTGAAATATTTAGTGTTTTATAAGATTTCACATTTGTCCAGTTTTCCTTATTGTGAATACATTCTATTGCATAGCTGAAAATCTGGTTGAAACAATTCTAGAAGTCATGAGATCATAATTTTGGAAGCCTAGAATCATAAATGCTTATAGCCTTATAGTTTGGGTGTTAGAATAGCATAAAGGTAAAACCTGCTGTCTCTGGTGTAAACCCACCTTTGCTATTTGGGCCCTCGGGCAAGTTACTTAACCTCTCTAATCTGAAGCTCCTTCCTATGTGCAATCTTAATATGTTGGCTTCTAAGACTTAGAGTCTGTGAATCTTCAAATCTTAAATGTATCTAGTCATAGAGTAAGTTAAATGATTTGTAGCTTCTTCAGTGGAATTCATACCTTATCTTTTCATCTTTAATGGCCAAAGTGAAAAAGAAAAGAAAGATTAAATGGCTTTCATCAATCCCATCCAACCATCCACTCATCCATCCATCCATCCATCCATCCATCCATCCATCCATCCATTCACTCATCCATCCACCCACCCATCCATCCATCTATCCATCTATCCACTCATCCATCCATCCATCCATCCATCCATCCATCCATCCATCCATCCATCCAAGCATGCATTCACTCATGAATTTGCACTGTCATTCAATCATGCATTTCCTTATGTGTGCATTTGTTAACCAATACCTAAAATATTCCTCTGTGGCAGGCTCTGGTTAGGCCTAGGTAGATGACTTCATCCTCAAGGAGCTTTCAGGCACCTACAGATGGCTTCCCACAATAATTATTTGTTTTCTCTGGGCTTTGTCAGTTCCCCCTACAGTGACAGTGTTCCAGTCTTCCACCTCCTCCAGCTTGGTGGCCGTTACTTGCCTTGTGCAAAGATTCTATCCACAAAACATGCACCTCACCTGGCTAGAGGATTGCCATACACTCAAAGGTGCTGAGCAACCCACATTCAAGAAGAATGATGATGGGTCCTACACCCTGGAAAACCTGCTGCTGGTGAATGCATCAGTGCGGGGGCCTGAGCGGGTGCTTACCTGCATGGTGGAACATGAGGGACAGCCTCCCAAACGGGCCAACCTCATACTGTCCACAAGAGCCCACACTGCTTATAAGCCCATTGGGAGCACAGGTAAGTTCATGTCTTCTTCTATGAGCACCTGGGGTCACTTCTGTATCCTGAGTGGATTTCAGAAGGTACTGGGAGGAGGGAGAGCTTGATAATCAGTGAGATCTTATCCCACTTGAGAGTCTACAATTCCTTAAATAACCGGAATGGTTTCTGGCCGGTAGATTCCTTTAAATCTGGCCATCCTGAAAGGTTCTTTAATTTCTGTGGAAAGAGTGATCTCCTGGCTCAATCTCCTTCAAAATTCCCAAGACAGAGTTCAGCTTAGTGCACTCAGTACTGGTGCTTCTGAGGTGGTTGTCAGCAAGGCTGTCTTGTTTAAAATATTTGTTTCAGTTATATGGAGGCGAGCTTGCCAGCACATAAAACCTGCTTGCATGATGTCTGCTTCAATGGTAGAATAGGCTCTTTGACTTGATTCTTGCACAGGCACTTCACCCCTGTGTGCTTCAGTCTGCTTACCTGTAGATAGTGTCTAAAAAAGGTTCCTAATTCATCGTCTTTATGAAGATTAAATGAATTAATACATGTAAACTTTACATATGGTCTACAATAAATGTCAGCTACTGATACCTATTATTTGAATTCAGGTAAGATTATTTTAAAATTTAGTTTCCAGTAGTTACAGCTTTGTAAACTTAGGCAGTTGAGTCAATTACCTTCCCATAACCTCAGTTTACTCATCTAGAAAATGGTGCTAATGATACCAAACTCTTAAGATTGTAGCAAAGTTATATTAAATGACCACAGGCCTTTGGGACATGGAGCTGATTCTATTATACTTAGGTTTGTGCCTCTAAAGCCTTGCATAGTGGCTGATATGTGTCAGATATTCAAATCAGCATTTGTTGAGCCAAATTCAAGGTAAGGCTTATAGGTCAAGGTCAACTCTTATTTCCAAGAGAGAACTACAGAATCAGGTGCCACCTGCAAGCTCTGGAACTTCTTGACTACATGACCTCAGAGAAGGCATTTAAACTCACAGAGCCCCCATGTGATGGCTCCTTCTATCCTTTGGCATTTAGGTCCAGAGATGCCTGCCCTTATCTTTGTGGTTTTCCTCCTGGGCCTCAAGGTGCTGCTGGTGATGAGTTTCACAGCGACCTACATCTGCAGGAGGTGGAACCTGTGACAGGTGAGCATAGGATGGGCCTTAGTCTTCAGGAGTGGGTGACAGGCTGGCAAGAGGCTTACAGGGCAAGCCCACAAAGTCACTGGGGCCCTCAAGAGTGATCCAGCCTCAAGGGAAGGTTGTGAACACTCTTTATTTTCTCCAAATGTTTTTTGGGATTCCCAGAGTCTTTCAACTCCATGCATTGTGTAGTGCCTTGGAGGTGGAAAGGTTTCAAATTCCATTCTTTGGGACCCTGGAGATGGGGGGAGGAGGAATCCAAGGTGTAGTAGTGGTATGAATGTTGAGACCCAAACTCCAGAGTCCCCCAATACACTGTTACATGTTTCGATTTTCATATGATATATTTTGGGGATGCATAAGGAAAGTATTGCTAAAATCAATGAATAGAACCTATTCAAGGGACTTGGAGGTTCTGACTAGTGGCAAAGATGAATGTGGATATGGGAGAGAGTTTAGAATCCAGAAAGTGGCGTTGGGGTGTAATGAGTAGGGGCCTTACTTCTGATCTGTGCCACGAATCCAGACCAAGCAGAATACCTGTCATATAGTAGGTGCTCAATAAATATTTGTGAAATTAATACATGAATAAACAAACACATGAATGAATGATTTTTTTTCTCTACAGCCCCTGCATGCCCTGTGATACATTACTTCCAGCCTTCTTGAAGGGGTTCAAGCGGGGAGAAGCTGCAAGGACTTATAGGTCACTAAAGACCCCTTTATTCCGTCCCTGCCACCCCCATCGCGGACACGCTCCCTTCCGCACACCCTCCTGATGTTCCTTCCCTCAGAGCTTTGGAGCTGAGTCAGGGACGGATTTTCTTCATAAGGATTCCAGGGATGTCTTGACCCTCATGTACTGAGCTTCAAATTGGCCCTGCTTCCACCCAAGAGAATTAAGCTGATCATTCTACCCTGGTCATGAACAATCCTTAATTTTCAGAGCAGTTTTTACTTTTGTGCAGGGTTTTTGAAGATATGATTTCATTTGAACATACATATATTTTGAAATCACTGGTAAGTTGCACAAGCATTTTTCTCTTCTGAAATGTACAGAAAAAATACAAGCAATACCCAAGGACCTACCATCCTATCTTTTAAAAATAGTAACATTTGCCATTATGATCTTCAGTTCTTTAAAAAAACAAAAACAAAAAAAAAACCCAAAAAAAAACACTGTTCTGAATTTATCATTCTCAAGCATGATTTTATAACTTTATAACATATGTATAAATCCTTAAGCAATGTATAGTATTTTTATATTTTTAACATTATATAAATGCTATGATACTGTACACAGCACTCTGGAACTTTATTTTTTATGCTTAACACAATTTGTGAGGTTTATTCCTGTTGATATGTGGAGCTACATTTTATTAATTTTGCACTGTTCTGTGGTCTTCTCTTGTAAGAATATGCCACAATTTATCAATTCTTCTCAAGACAGATTTTGAAGCTTCATTCAGTGTTTTGCTAGTACAACTTTGCAGCAAACATTCTTATATTTGTTTCCCTGGGCATGTGTGGGAGAGTCAGCCTTGTTCCTCTAGTTTGGTGCACAAAGCTGCAGTATTCGTATGATTTGGGAGCTTTTGTTATGTAAAAAAATTTCCAATTGTTGCTTAAGTTTTACTCTTTCCATTTATCCCTTTCATCTCGCTATGTCTGTCTCTCTGTGTGTGTGTGTGTGTGTGTGTGTATACATATATATATATATAATATTTTTGAATGTTTATTGCATTTTTAAAATAGATACCTTTCAGGAAGTTAAAGAGTTAAGGAGTTTTCCTTTCTTCTGTGCTGATATTAACATATTTTAAAATCAAACAAAAGCAAAGAAATCACCAGCAGACTTGAATTATAAGAAATACTAGTGGACACCCTTTAGGCACAAAGAAAATGACACCAGATGTAAATCTGGATCCACACAAAAGAATGAAGAACAGAAAAAGTAAATAGATGCATAAATTTAAGACATTTAAACAAAACTCTATAGATGATAAGTGAATGTTTAAAACTAAAAATAATAATAATGCAATGTGGATGTTATGATAATAACGCATCAATATCATATAATACCTGAAACAATGGCACAAAGGCTGGGAGCGGGAATTGGATGTACACAGCCAGAGTATTCCTATACTATACATACAGTGGTATAAATATTGGGACTTCTTTTTCAGGATCACTGTATAATTTTATATTTTTCATGTTGTCTTTTATGCCATTTACAAACAGCTTTGTATTTTTAATATAAACCTTGTGCATTTTTATTAAATTTATCTTTTTAAGACTTAAATGTAAGATCTGGAATTACAAAAAGAAGAAAACTTGGGAAAAGCTCTTCTGGACACTGGCTGAGGCAAAGACGGAGTCTCACTCCATCGCCCAGGCTGGGGTGCAGTGGCGTGATCTCAGCTCACTGCAACCTCCACCTCCCAGGTTCTAGCAATTCTCCTGCCTCAGTCTCCCAAGGAGCTGGGATTACAGGCACGCACCACATCTCGCTATATTTTTCTGGTGGTGTGTGTGCACACGTGTGTGTATGCATTACAGATGGTAGGAATCTTATGTGTCTTACAGGCGGTAGGAATCTTATCTTTTTTCTAGAAGGATTAATTATCCAGCACTCCCTGATGTTCACTGCCACCTTTGCTGTATAGCGAGTGTCTATAAATCTGTGGTTCCTTTGATGAGCTCTTTGTTCCGCTGATCTACTTGTCTAGCTCTCTGTCAATACAGGCAAATTAAATTGTGCTTCACTTTACTGCACTTCACAGATACTGCGTTTTTCGCAAATTGACGGTTTGTGGCACCCCTGCATTGAGCAAGTCTATTGGTGCCATGTTTCCAACAGCATGTGCCCAATCCGTGTCTCTGTCACATTTTAGTAATTCTTGCAATATTTCAAATTATAATAATTATTATATCTGATATCTGTGATTAGTGATATTTGATGTTATTATTGTAACGGTTTTGTGGCTCCACGAACCACGTCCTTATGAAACAGCACACTTGATGGAAAAATGTCTTGTATGTTCTGACTGCTCCACCTACTGGTCGTTCCCCCATCTTGCTCCCTCTCCTCAGGCCTCCCCACTTACCCTGAGGCACAGGAAGACACAATAACCCGAAATTAGGCCAATTAATAACCCCGCAACCGCCTCTAAGTGCTCAAGTGAAAGCGAGAGTTGCAAATCTCTCACTTTAAATCAAATCTAGAAATGATGAAGCTTAGTAAAAAAAAGGCTTGCCCAAAGCTGAGACAGGCTGAAAGCTAGACTTCTTGCACCAAACACGCAGCCAGCTGTGAATGCAAAGGAAAAGTTTTTGAAAGAAATTAAAAATACTACTCCAGTGAGCACATGAATGATAAGAAAGCAACACAAACTTATTGGTGATGTGGAGAAAATTTCAGTGGTCTCGATAGATGATGGAACTAACCACAACATTCTCCTGCAATATCTCCAAGGTATGCTTGTATTTGACTTAGCATAGCTCTACAGTAAGTTTTGATATCTTTTGGGAAAATCATTTCACCCTTTCTTATCCAAAACTGTTGTGACTATTCTTGGCCCAAATGCATTTTAGACTCACTTTATCAAGTTTCATGAAAAATCCTTTTAGATTTATTATTTGATTCCACGGAATTCATATATTATTTTGGAGACATTTACATTTTTCCAGTATTGAGCCTTCCCATTTATGGGCGTAGTATACCTCTATTTATTTAGGTTTTCTTTTATGAAGTTCAGTTTACAATTTTACAGTTTTTTTCTCTATAATGGTCTTATGCATCGTTAGCTAGAGACGGCTTTAATATTTTCTAGTTTATGGAATCCTTAAAATTTATTATTACTTTTTTCAGTGGTTGTTGACTACTGAATAGGATTGCAATTGAGTTTTGAACATCAATTTTATAGCTGGAAAGCTTATGAAATTCTCTTATTAGTGCTAATAGTATGGATATTCTTTCTATATATAACTCCCCCCCTTTTTTTTAGATGGCGTCTTGCTTTGTTGCCCAGGCTGGAGTGCAGTGGTGTGATCTTGGCTCACTGAAACCTCCGCCTCCCAGGTTCAAGCAATTCTCCTGTCTCAGCCTCCCAAGTAGTTGGGATTACAAGCGCATGCCACCACACCAGGAGACAGGGTTCCACTGTGTTGGCCAGGCTGGTAGTGAACTCCTGACCTCTACTGATCTACCATTCTCACCTCCCAAAGTGCTGGGATTACAGGTGTGAGCCACCGCACCTGGCCTTTATGTGTAACTCCTATAACATTCATCTAATGATCTAAATTAGTGTTTATCTTTGTCAAAGTTACATGTACACACTATTTAAGAGTCAAATAAATAGTTATATAAGTTTTACATACAAAAATTGGAGTCTCCTTAACATCCAACCATGTTCTATCTCCCAGAAGCAAGTATTCTCAACTTTTAATGGATTATCTTAGATTGTTACTGCCATATCTCATATAACACGTTTATATCACCACTTCTTCATTTTTCAGTAATAGGCATTATTTTTGACCTTCCATGATTGCAGATGGTAATATAATGCTCCATCATTGCTGATTTAATGCCACACATGAACACTTTCTATTCCCCATCAACTGAATATGATTATATAGTAATTTGGGATACTTTAAGAGTCAATGTCTATATTGTAATATAGTGTTTGGACCTCCCTCCCTCCTTTCTTTTCTCTCTCTCTCTCTCTCTCTCTCTCTCTCTTTCTGTCTTTCTTTCTTTCTTGAGATGGAGTCTCACTCTGTTGCCCAGGCTACAGTGCAATGGCATGATCTTGGCTCACTGCAACATCTGACCCCTGGGTTTAAGCAATTCTCCTGCCTCAGCCTCCCTAGTAGCTGGAATTATAGGCATGCACCACCACGGCCAGCTAATTTTTGTATTTTTAGTAGAGATGGAGTTTCACCATGTTGGCCAGGCTGGTCTCAAACTCCTGACCTCAAAAGATCCACCCACCTTGGCCTCCCAAAGTGCTGGGATTACAGACGTGAACCTCCCTGCCCAGCTGAACATTATTTCCAGCTGAGTCTGGTAATATTCCCAGCTTTTGCTTATGTTCAGTCTCTCCTGTGTATGTTTGTGTAATCAACACTATAGTCAAAATACAGACAATTCCATAACCATAAAGGTCTCCCTGGTGCTACCTCATTATAGTGATACCCACCGTCACCATACTAAGTCTGGCAAATGCTAATCTCTTCTATATCTCCATATTTTGACAATGTTATGTAAATGGGATCATACAGTATGCAACATTTTGAGTTTGAGTTTTTCACTCAACATAATGCCTTTGCGATCCTTACAAGTTGTTGCATATATAAATAATTTATTTTTTTATTGCTGAGTGCTATTTTATTGTATGAATGCATACTGTTTGTTAGCCATTCACTTGTAAGACAAATTTGTCTTACACTGGTTGTTTCTAGGGTTTTGCTGTTACAAATAAATCTGCTACAAACATTTGTGCACAGTTTTTTGTGTGTACATAAGTTTTCATTTCTTCTGGGACAAATGCAAGGGGGTGCAATTGCTGGTTCATTTGTATAGCAAGTGTATGCTTAGTTCTTTTTAAGAAGTTGACAACCAGTTTTATAGAGTGGGTGTATTGTTTTACATTCCCACTTGCAATGCATTAGATATTCAGTTTCTCCGCATCCTAGCCAGCATTTGGTATTGTCACTATGTTTTACTATAACTGTTCTATTAGGTACATAGTAATAATATCTCACTATTATCTTAATTTGCATTTTCCTGATGGTTAGTGATGTAAGCATCTTTTCATGTATTTATTTTCTATCTGTATATCCTTTTTGGTAAAATATCTCTTTATGTCTTTCACCCATTGTGATATTGTGAAATATATATTTGGTCTTCAACCCTGTTTCCTGCCAAACAACTCCTAAAATCCTTAGACTCTCCAAAGAGATATCTTTTTGTGTCCTAATGAATTGACTGATGGCTGGGAGCACCTACGTAGCTTCAGGATGGGGACTGGTCACCTGAAAGACCAATTTTTACAGACAGACAGGGGACCTAAAGAGTAAGCTGATCAAATGATTTAATCAATCTTGCCTACATAATGAAGCTTCTGTAAAAACCCAAAAGGACTGGATTCAGAGAGCTTCTGGACAGCTGAACACATGCAGGTTCCTGAAAAGTGCTGCACCTGCGGAGGTCATGGAAGCTCCGTGTCCCTTCCCCGTTCCTGTCCCTATGCATCTCTTCATCTATATCCTTTATAATAAACCGGTAAACTCAGTG